AAAAATGTATGCTTCAAAGGGTTAAATAATGAATCAATGTGCGGCTAAAATTTTCAACAGTGATAAATTTTCCTTTTTTTTTGTTATTTTGAGCTTATCTATATATCTACATTTTAATCATAGTTATTTAAACATGCGGCACTTTGAAAACAAGTAAAGCTTATTTAAATATATAAAATTTGCTCACTTTGTACATTGGATTAAGAGCGAGCTTTTTAAAATATAAAGCGAAACATAAATTTTTATTTCCCTTTTACGAAATTTATTAAAATTCTACTAAAACGACGAGAATTTATTCTAATGGACACAGATTTCAAGCGTAAAATTTTTTATACATAGAGTGTTTTTATAACAAATTTTACATGCATTTAAATAACTCATCTTATAATATATATATATATATATAGTTCCTTTAGAAAGAGGAAAAAAATATATATTTACTACTTTCTTTCACACATTTAGATAAAAGTTATATTTATTTCATTTTACATTAATTCAATTTAATAGGGTTTTTTTTCATTATGTATATAAATACATAACTTAAGAGAAAATCTTTGCTTAATAGTTTCTTTTTAAGGATAAGAAAAAGAAATAATATGAAATATTCTTTTTTGAAGTTTTTTTTCAAACATTTCACATGTATATACATGTATAAACACGGGGCGTATATAAAAGTACGTAAAAAGTTAAACTCATAAAAGTGACTTTCCTCACAACTAAATGGCTATTTCTAGAAAACATCAGCTTTTTATTACTGCATTGGGTTATGGTGCGGTTGAAAAATTTAAACTACGACGTAAAACATGTTCAGGCGTTCTCTAATATTCTGAGTCAAGCAAAAAAAAAAAAAACTTTCGAAAAGAACATAAGTCTCAAGATCATATTTTAGATGTATATACATATATGAATTTTTTAAATTCCTCAGAAAAATGTCACCTTTTTATAATTTTACAATGTTAAGATTTTATTTCTAAAAATTTCGTTGATAATAATTTTAATTATTTTCACTCAATTAGATTTTTTTTCTATTCGTTATTTATTTTTTAATTATGATAATTTAATTTTTTTTTCATATTATTATATTATAATAATAAACAAATAATCAAATATTAGCTAATAATATTCTCAAATTTGCTGATTACTATTAATTGTGTCAGATACAATTGAAATTTAGAGAAAACAGGTGCATAATGAGGTGGTTGATTGTGAAACCAATAGAATGTTGATAATAAAATACTTCCATATGCATGTTGCTATATTAATTAAAGCATGCATCGATGTACTAATGATTGAAAATAGTAGTTCATTGGAAAATTAATTCTGTCACGAGCTAAGCGTCAAATCTAATTAAAGCAGCTTTCAAATTAACTCAACAATGATATTCAGAAAACAATTATATTTTAATATCATTTCAATATATATGAATGGAGAAAAATTGCAATAATGAAACTGACAATTTATTAATTACCAAAAGTTAATAATATTCATTATTATCAAAAACCGAGAGACAAAATCAATTATAGATAATAATTATTTTCATTTCATGATAAATTATTAATTATTATTATTATTATTATTATTGCCTACAATTTATATTAAAATTAAAAAAAAAAACAAGTTGAAAAAATTTAATTTTTAAAGTTGAGACAAATTCAAATCATAAGTCCATAAATTTTATGAGTATTCGTTTTCGTAACGGAAGCGATAATGAAGCATAACTGTCGAAACTCTCCAAGGAACTAATGATAAGTCTCGAGAAACTTAAGTCATAATTTTACCTGACACTGAACTCATTAGTAGTTTTACTGCCCTCTAAAATAGTTATTACTTTATCAATTATCGACTCTACAACTGTTCTCCCGCAATCGTATTTTCAATTGTACCTTTTGTTCAATTTATATAACTTGAAGAGAGAGAGAGAGAGAGAAGGAGAAAATTAATTTACCTGATTATATATCTATTCGAGTTGAAACAATAGTTTATTAAAAGTGTTTGGACGATAAAATTACGAATATATGCTACGAAAACTTAAAGTTTCGAATAATATGCTGGATTTGAATTTAGCATTTCAAGTTTTCATGCGAAACAGTAGTTTTCTATTTTATAGGAAATGGATAGAGTTAAATTTGTAAATTCCATTATTGTGTATATATGTATTAACAGCAACACTGTATAGTAAAATTAGAAACATTATTAAGACTGGTAGTATCAAGTTGAAAGCGAAACATTCACTATTAAAACTAGTAAATTCTCGGTGGCATTATACATATACCATAAATTGAATTTCCTGAGTGTCGTAAGCGATCGTAATTTCCGACGACCATAATCCAGTTAGCTGTTGTATTACAACAGGTTGCTATAACCATTTAATGAATTTCTTTTCGCTGGCATTTTCTCTCAGAGCCAAATATACTTCAAGTACTTTTACCCTAGCACATCATTATTATTCATAGTTTCATGAATTTTCATCAATTTTATACAAGATTGGCCATTATTTCCCACATCCGCATAACATTTTACCCTGTTAATAATTCCTCTCTTGTTTATCTTAATATAGTGCACATATAAATTGTTATTAAATAGTGGACATCAAAAATTTTCCCTTTATGATCGCTCACTAAATAATTGTTACAAAAAATAAATACTCGTTATTTTATAATTATATCAATTAATATTAATGCTAATAAAATTTAATTTTTTAATATTTAGGTAAAATTATTTTTAAAAATTTGTAAAAAAAAATAATAAAATTTTGCAATATTTTTTATTCTGATTTGAAATTCCTTTTACAATTAGTAATTTTAGTATACACCAAATGCACTAATAGAAAACCTGTTTTGTAAATCAATTAGGCAAATCAATTATAATTTTGTGAAAAAGAGAATTCATAATTTTACACACGAAGAAAAGTAATAATTGAATTTATTTGAATACCTGAATAATTAACATTCGAATAATTAGAATTATAAACTGAAATTGTTTGAGCTCAACTGCATTTTAGATAAAAATTTTTAAAAAATGGCTTTAGATGGGAATTTATAATATACTCTCTACAAATAATATAAAATAATTATATTAATAAAATGAATTAGAAAAAAATAAAATTTTAGTAATTTTTTTTCTATGTAATAAATTTACGAGTTCTGTCAAAATATAACATTTGAAAATTTATTTTTTTATGCCTAAAGACCAAATTTTCAAAATTGTAATTAAAAATCAGGTTACAAAATTTCAAAATTATAATTTATTTATGTGATTATGAAAATTTTTAATAGTTGCTTTTCTTACTCTCTAAATCTAAATTAGTAAAAATGTTTACTAATTTGAATTAGTGACTCACTTTTTGCTTCTGAATTAGTAAAATTTTACTAATTCTAAAGCAAAAAGTGAGTCACTAATACAAATAAGTAAACATTTTTACTAATTCAGATTTAGAGAGTAATAATTATTGATTTAAGAATAGTGTGAAATCCATGAAAATGATCCCGAGATATCGTGTGAAGAAATGCAATGAGGACAATTTACGAACCTGTTAAATTTTTACATAACGACCTTTAGATAAAAGGAGGAAGAGTGACGAGAAGAAATCTCATGCATATGCATGCTTTTTTCCTTCCTATTCGCAAAGATTTCTGTGTATTATTTTACATAACACTTACTCGTCTTTTCGAAATTTCAATGAATAATAAAAAATCCTGTTTCCTCAGAGACAAGAGATAGAGTCATAGTGAAGAGCTTCTTTTTTACAAAGTGCAATCACACCTAACACGTAAATAGAAAATTGCTTTTATGGTTTATTGAGATTTAAAAAAAAAATTATTTATTTATTAATAAAAAATACATTTTAATTTTAAACTAAAGAAATTTACACTATAAAAAAACATAAAAATTGAATTTAAACAATTTATGAAAACAATTTTTCATTCTTTATATAAGCAGTTTCCTTTTAAAATTAAAATAATGAAAGCCTCTATATATAAAATCAAAACCATATTTATTAACAATTTATCATCAATCAAAATTATTTCATATTTTACATTTCGCATTCTCTTTTTCTATATATATATTTTTTTTTTGTATATCGTATATAAATTTCCTGTTTTGCGAATAAAGCTCAAAAATAACGAGACAAAGTTATTTTAATCAAAGATAAAATATTATCAATTTTACACGCTTATGCAGATTTATTAATAAATGTGAAAAAAGATTTTTATCATCGCATATATGTACTAAATACCTTGTTTTATATCCCATTAACCGTAGTGATAAAAATATATACAAAAATATTTAAAAAGAGCTATAAATCCTCAAATAAAAACAAAAAACAAAAATACGTATATTGTTTACAAAATAAAGAAACATTTTATAATTAAAATGTTTTTTTTTTTTATAAATGTTATAGATTCATATACTTTTTTACATTCATAATGGAACATGACTGTCAGGTACGCCATAAAATTTATATATTAAAAAAGAAAAATTGAAATTGGACCACACATCATTTTTATATGAAATCGATAGAAGAGCTTTTGTACTTGTACTTCAGTTCTCTATTATATTAATGAGATACTAAAACTTTTATAGGTAAATGCCCTTAAATTTGGTTATTTGACGAATGTGATCCCCGAGACTGAAAAACAATTTATTTAAATTAAATAAAAACTATTTGGTTCAAGTATAAATATTTCAAAAAATTATTCTTCGTTTCAAAGAAATTTTTTATTTAATTCAAATAAATGTTTCTTTGATCCTATATCAATGTTAGAATTTCTTTGATTTAATACGCACAATTTTCATTAAAACTAGAAAGCTTTTTTTGCTTTAAATAAAATTTTATTTTGAATGAAAAATAAAACAAATGAAAAAAATCTTTTCTCTGGGTGTAATTTTGAAGTTATTATAGTGAGGAAATAAAAGTGACCTGTTTGTAAAGAATCACACATATACGTATAGCAACGTACATTAAAATTAAAAGAAACTTTTTTATTTTGTTGTTTCAGTTATCCGAAGACATAGGATATGTGCTGTACTCGGCCCTAGGTAGTTTCTACATCCCCTCGTGCATTATGGTCTTTGTCTACATACGCATTTATTTTGCTGCAAAAGCTCGGGCGAGACGTGGAATCAGGAAGCAGCCACGTCCACGACCTACGATACAACTCGAGTCACCGGATATCCGACAGACGAGTTTCACTCAAAGCACACAATCAACTGGTACGAGAAAAATGCCGAGTTCAACCATGGAGAACGTGGCGACAATTGAAAATCAGCCTGTTCAAATCCCAATTGTCACCTGTGACTTTGCCAGTGATGTAAGCACTTCCGAGGCTGATCCTGGTGGAAGCATTGCCATGGAAGAAAAAGATACCCTTAAGGTAAATTTAATTACACATCACTGTTTTCTTCAAGGTATATATCAAGTTAATATCGAACTGGATCAAATTATGTTTTGATTCAAATAATTGATATTTCATTTAATCAAATTTCTGTTTATCTATTTCTGTTTTAAACTTTGATTAGTCCAAAATATCAGCGACCCTAAAAACTCCTAAGTAACAAGTTTCAAGCAAATCCAAATCACTTTTTAAAAATTTGGCCACCATATTGGAGCAGACATTTTGAATTTTCAAAAAGTGCCATTCGGCATTTAAAAGTATTCCTTTTTACCTAAATTTTAAGCCTACGCCCGGTAATTTAGAAGTAAACCATTTTTGGAGAGCAGGGGGTCCCGATGACAAAGAAACACACATATACCCTAGTAGAAATTTGTCATGGAAGCACTAGAAATACTCTAGTAACTGGCCAGTTTTTCTCGTGGACGCTGATTCTAGACAAACTAGACAATTACTGTAAAGTTACTTGACCAACAGTCTTAGAAAACATTCAAGTTGAACTTGAAATTGACTAGATTCAACTTTTGTCCAGTTGCTTGAATGGCACTGTCCAGTGTCTCTAGAAATTATACTTTCGTCTTCTTTCGTGGCAGCAGCGCTGCAGTACATGTCTAATAACTAGACAAAAAAGTGCTAGAAATCTGTGTTCATGTAACTATTATATTATTTTATTATTTTCTTAAATAATAAAATTCTAATTAATTCAGGTAAATATAAATTAACATAATTTATTATTTTAATATAATAAATAAATAAAATCTATATTCACATGTTTTCTGAATATATTAGTATTTCAAGTTTTATGATATTTAGTATGTTTTTCTTTCTTATAAATTAAATTATTCTATTATCTATTATTGGCATTTTATTTATTGTTCCATTTATATATCATATATTTTTTTATTAAGAAAGTTTATTCTCAATTGATATTGAAAAAAATGTGTAATTTAGAAAACCTAACCTATAAATTCTATCCTTTGATATTAAAAAACAATAAAAATTACTGTTTTCGTTGAGTTTTTCACTTAGAAAACAATAAATAATAATTTTAATAGTAATTATTTTTAAAAAATGTCAAAATGCAATAATAAAAATATGCCTTGTTACATAAGATAGGTTATATTTTATTTCTCTTTTTATTTTTAGGGTTCCGTACTCGGTTCGGAACCCTATTAATATCGGTTTTTTTGAAATCGTGTACCCCCCCCCCCTAGCGGCCACACAAATTTATCTGGAGGGCTGACAATTAGTACACATATGTATTTTCGCGTGTAGATTACAGGAAAATTATAGCGAACTTGATTGGAATTGATTAACATAGCGTTGTCAAGGAAAAACCATGAATTTTTACGAAAAATACCTAAAAATGACTATGTACCCCCCCCCCTAGCAGCCACATCTTTTGACATAAAGAGCTCAAATTTGACACACTTACGTATTTTTACGTGAAAATTACAGGAAAATTATAGCGAACTTGATTCGGATCAATTTACATAGCGTTGTCAAGGAAAACTCAAAAATTTCGAAAAAAATGATTTATTCTCCCTAGCGCACATAATATTCAACCCAAACTGTTCATATTTGCTGCAAAACTGTATTTTTGCGTGAAAAATACAGGGAAAAAATGTAAGCGCGATTGGCGTTGATGATCAATTTTTATCAAATTTTTGAAGAAAAGTGATAAATTTAATAAAAATTGTATTTTTCCGCAAAAAACGAAAAAAATCGGACAAGTGCGAGTTACACTCGCACTGAAATCGAGGGTTCCGTACTCGAAGCGAACTTATTTGGTATAAAAACAAATGTTTAAAAAATATGTTGTATGTTAAATAATATATGTGATGCAAAAAGAAACAATTTTTAAAAAAAATTTAAGAAAATTGTTCCTCCTTTGGTATAAAAACAAAAAAAAATTTTTAAATATGTGTTGTATTTCAAATAATATAAGTGATACGAAGAGGAACAATTTTCTTAAATTTTACAAAATTGTTCCTTTTTGCATCACTTATATTATTTGAAATACAACACATATTTAAATTTTTTTTTGTTTTTATACCAAAGGAGGAACAATTTTCTTAAATTTTTTTAAAAAATTGTTTCTTTTTGCATCACATATATTATTTAACATACAACATATTTTTTAAACATTTGTTTTTATACCAAATAAGTTCGCTTCGAGTACGGAACCCTCGATTTCAGTGCGAGTGTAACTCGCACTTGTCCGATTTTTTTTAAATTAAAATGTTTTTATGCCTTAAATTTTTAAAATCTTTTTAAATAAATTATATAATTTTAATAATAGGTGGATTAATAGCTAAATTAAAAAAAAATTTAAATTATAAAATATTAAAATTAAGTTGTAAAAAATTAAATTTTTAGAAAATTTAAAATATCTAATACAATAATGGTTTAATGAAATTTGTGCTGATTAAAATTGTTATTTCAAGTGTAAATTTATTTTTCAGTAAATTATAAAAAATTAAAATTCTAAAATATGTATTTTGGCAGATAATAGTAAAAATATTTATATAAAGCATGCAATTTCTAGCTACAGCACTGAACTAAAATATATCTGCTATATTTTTCGTTTGATGGATATCGTTAGTATAGCAGATTGCGTAGCGTGCGTACCTCGCGCCCAGCGGACCCGTGTTCGCTCCCCGTTACCCCCGAGATTTTTCGTTGAAATTGCGTTCTCTTCGTGTTTAAAAGTTGATAATAACAATTGTATAATAAATTACTAATACAAAAATATTTGTTTCAGTCGTCATTACAGTGCAATCAAAAAGTGGATGTTTCAGTGTACCAGAAAATATTTGTGATCCTTTCACACAAGTAAAATTTTTTTTTAAAATTAAAAATTAAACAGTATTGACAAATATTATGCTTTTAACAATTTACTATACATTATATTTTCTTCAAATAATTTAGATTATAATTTAAAAAAATTAATGTAATTATATAATTTATTATTGTATAATTAGTTTCTTACATTAAATCTTAATATTAGACAAATTTTGAGAATATTTAAAAGAAATAATTTGTCTAGTTTTTCTAACGGACCGTTGATCAGAATTTATCAAGTTGGGCTAGACAATAACTAGACGAAAAAAGCGTGACATTCCATTCGAGTAATTAGCCAGTTGCAGTGTTAAGTTACTAGACAGCTTCTAGCGCAACTGTCCAGTGCCACGATAATTACTGGGACAAATTTCTACTAGGGTATATATCGTGAAAAGGAAAAACTAATAAAGGATGAAAATTTAAAAAAAAAAAAAAAACTCAGCGATACAAAAAAAGAACGAATTCAAAATGAGTTTGAATAGATATTGTAAATCGATGATTTTTGATAAAACGAATATTGCACTATTTCCCTCTACACTAATATAGATGAAAATATTTTCACTCTCAGAACTCTATGCGCTTTGCTTTTTTAGGCACTTCGTTTCTTTTTTCTCCCTGTGTAAGTTAAGCGACCTACTTTTAGTCGTGATATTGGCTCGGTGACGTCAAGATTTTAGTTCTCAATACTCCTTTTCGTGAAACTAAACCTCTTTTTTTTTTTATAAAACTGTAAAATCTCGACCAGAAAAAAATGTAATAATCTTCTTTATATTCTTAAAATAGAACTCATCTAAAAATAACAAAAAATTTATATATTAAAAAATCAAAATAATAATATTTTTGTTTGTTCTGTTATTAAAATTTTTCCATGCGATTATTTATCAAATAATTTTAATAATTCAAGCATGATGATATTGTAAATAAACGTCGTTTACTATAAATTTCCTATCCAGTGCAGTATTTGAAGTTTTTTTTTAACATTCTATAAAAAAATTTTTCATATTTTTTTCATTTTTTTTTTTTTTTGCTACAAAAACTTTTTGAAGCGAATTTTGTGCTCCGACACAATTTGCAGATATAAAACATGTTTACTGATTGCTAAACCTTTTTTCAAAAGCACAATGAAAGTAGTAGTGTATAGGTTTCAATACTTGACTTTCAAAATATTTTTACCATAATTTCATGAAATATTAATATTTTCAAATTTTCTATTTATCTATATAGACATTATACAATTGTATTATATGTGGAAACTAATTTATTATTCTATTTGTCAGAAATATCTACAATTTTTGCTTTTACGATGGCGTTAAAATTCAAAAAGTTCAATTTACATTTTATAAAGGATATGTTTGAAAATATTTTACGACTCTGAATATTTTAATCTTTTTATTATTATCATTTATGGGAAATAAAACTTTAATGTTCACATTTCAATCGAACTATATATATATATACAATCCAGAGAAATTTTTTATTGGAAACCAAATTTAATGTATTTGAATTTGAATTAAATAAAATTATATTTTTTTCATGGTTCTAAATAACTATATGTAACAAATCAATTTTTTTTTGAAACAAATAAATATTTATTTTACTCTATGTAAAATATATTTTTATTCTATTCAATTTATTATTATTTTTTTTAATTATTTAATTACCTATCATTTCACTGATATGATATTATTATTTTATATAAATTCAATTTCTTAATATTTTTTTCCAAAATAATAATTTATTAACTACGAGAAAAGCATTCAAAAAAGTGTTTTTCTATTCGACCAAGGAAAAAAAAATAAACAGCTTCCTTAATGATGTCCTGGCAACTCTATTATGTGGTTCCTTGGACAAAGGCCAAAAAATATCACCGCAGTTCATTGAGAGATAACGATATCCCAATCCGTATAGAAATCTATGGAATTTAATTCGCTACTGCGAGAGCTTTCGCTTGAAAAGAAATTCCTTATGCAACTTTATTTTTACGACTTCAGATAGAATACAATTTTGTATGAACAATAATGAACATACGAATGATACAAGCTATAGTCTAAGGGTTGTACATTACTGTATGAAAAAATGAATTTTCACTATTTCTAAAATTTCACAAATGGTGTTTTTATTATATTAGATCAACATTT